GAGGCTGGGGTCTGCGGGGTCACTGATGGGGGCGCGGGCCGCGGGCCGGGGAGCCTGTCTGTCTGCTGGGAGGCTCCGTCCGGGCTGGGGGGGCCGGTCTCTCTCAGCAGCGTTTAGTACATTCACAGTGTGCTTTTTTGGTTTGTTTACTTATTTTTGCATTTCTATGGAGTTTATCAGGGTGACATTCGTAAAAGTATTTAGGTTTCAGGCGTACAACCCTGTAACACATCACCTGTATGTTACACTCACAACGTTGTACAACCAGCCCCTATGTCTAGTTCCAGAACATTTCACCCCCCACATGAAACCCCAAGTTCATTAGCAGTCCCCCTCCCCGCCAGCCCCTGGGACCTCCAATCTGCTCCCTGACCCTGCGGATCTGACTGCGCGAGGGACCTCACAGAAGGGAGCCTGCGGGGCTGTTCCTCTGTGTCTGCTCGTTTTCCCGAGCACCTCAGGGGTCAGCCCGGTGCTGCCTGTGTGGGGTCCCCTCTCCTCACAGTGGGGACTGACTCCCGCACTGTGCGGGGGGGCGCCCGGCTGCTGTGCTGTGACCCCGGCTGCTATGCTGTGACCCCGGCTGCTGTGCCGTGACCCCGGTTGCGGTGGACGCGACTGCGTGTCACCCGGGTCCCAGGAGCAGACGTGCTGGGCCACGTGGCGAGTCTGTGTTTGACTCTGCGAGGAGCCCCTTCTGTGAAACGAGGGTGCCCACCCTTGGGCGATGGAGAGGCCGCACCACGCGGTCCGGGCGCTGGGAGGTGGCGGGGCTCAGGCCGCAGTTCCAGGCGGAGCGTCTGCGCACGTCTCTGTTGGGGTGCACGCTCCCCCCGTAGATACACAGTGTGCACGGACCGGCTCTCACAGACGCAGCGTGGTGTTCGGGGAAGGGGCCTGTAGATACAATATGTTTTCGGTCTTTGTCCCGTTCTGGCGCCCACTCCTCAAGCCCCGGGCTCGCTGGGCACGGGAGGCTCTTGTGCGCCAATGAGTGGGGAGCAAGGGGCTCCTACGCTCCAGGCCGGGCCGGGGCCCAGAAGGACCCAGGCATGAGTGCAGGGTTGGACCTTACAGCCCCACCTCTGACCCCCGCGGCCCAAGAGGGGCTGGAGCCTGAGCTGACCACCCATGGCCCATGGCTTCACCAGCCGTGCAGGGAACCTCCATGAAACCCTGAAGGAGGGGGGTGGAGATGTGGGCTGGCGAGCTGGGGGTGCTGAGCGGGGTGCTCCCGGAGAGGGCATGGGAGCCCGCACCCTTCCGCCTTCCCGGGCACCTCTTCTATTGCTGTCCCCGAGAGGCATCCTGTGTAACAGACCAGTAAGCACCAGTGTTTCCCTGAGCCCACTTGGGGCCCGGGGAGGGGTCACGGGACCCAGATTTGCAGCTGCTCAGTCCGAAGCGCAGGTGACCACGTGCACTGTGACTGGGTCTGAGTGGGAATGAGCCGGTGGGGCCGAGCCCTCAGCCGTGGGCCTGTGTGCGGGCAGTCTCTGCCAGAATTGTTTAGTAGCAGGACACCCAGTTGGTGTTTAGTGAGGGAGGTGGTTGGTGGCCGGTTTGGTATCAGAAGGGCGGGGAGTAAACTCACGCCCTGCCTCCCTCCTCACTCAGTGAGGCTGTGAGTGGGGAGGAGGCGAAGGCTTGGGCCCCAAACATCAGGAGGAGGAGGAACTTGGACCCACGAGGGGAGGACGAGCCTGGCCTTGGTAACTGGCCCCCGAGTGTCCGCTGTGGGGTGCGTTCCTCTCGGCCGAGGGGACGTGTGGGGACCTCGTTAGGAAGCGCCTCCAGGGGCAGGAGAATTCGGTTTTGCTGCCTGTGGCCTGGCCGGGGCTCCCTCCGCGGCCTGCGGGCCTGACCCGTCGGGAGCGGAGGCCCCGGCCCAGCCCTGGGCTCCGGCTGTGCTGACTCCGGCGTTTCAGAGGCGCAGGAAGTGCCTGTGAGGAAAGCCGCAGCTTTATTTTTGTTTAATTCCAGCCATTCTGCGGTTTTTGGAGATGGCCTTTCAAGATTGGGTTTTGATTTTTATCTCAAAGAGAATGCAGAAAAGCCCAGGGGTCGGCTCCAGAGAAAATACAGACCACGGAGAGAAGCGAGTTGGTATCTCGCCAGGCAGCAGGAGGAGCCTGGGGTCGGGCCGGTCCCGGGAGGAGCCCAGCACCTGCTCCCGGAAGCCAGCCTGGCCGGCAGGGCCGTCCCCACGGGCAGCCAGGCTGTGCGGTGGTCAGGGGTTAGGGGTGCAGTCTTTCGGTTGGCACCGTGGGCTGGCAAGTCCTTGCCCCGCTCTGGCCGCAGCGAGGGTGAGGGGGTCTCAGGGGTCCTGTTCGACGCCACCGGAATCCGCGAGAGTACGGAGGAGCCGCTCCCCAGAAAACACCGTGAGAAGCGCCCGCTGTGGGCAAGGCGGGTGGCCGGGGAGAGAGGGAGGACAGTCCCCCCAGAACCTGCTCTTCCTCCGGGAGAGGGTCAGGGCCTGACCGCAGACCAGCCCTGCACTCGCCCTGCCCCCGACCACCGGTGCTGTGCGCCCGGCCTCTGAGAGCCACGCTCTTGCCTTGAGCACGAAGGGCATGGGGGCCCTTCGTCTGGGCCAGGACACCTGAGTGGACTGAGAGGAGTCCCTATGCCAGGAGGAGGGTCACATGTTCTTGGGAGAAACTAGTCAACATGGAAGTTAGTCTGTGCTGCAGGTCAGCACCCCACGCCCACCACAAGGGGACAGGTAGGCCTCGATGGGTACGTTATGGGCTCCGGGGAACAGGCCAATGTGTGAACCCCTCCCTCCGGACCAGCTCCCACAGGCTTCCGCCTGCGGTGCCAGCTGTCCTCGCACCTGCCGCCCTCGTTGCTGAGCTCACTGGCCAGCAAACGCTCGGGTTTGCCCCGTGTGCGGGGTCTGCAGTCGCGCTGGGCACGTGGGCGCGGCACTGCCCGGCAGGCCCTCTGGCAGCCGCAGCCTCTGAGCCTCCCGTCTCCCTTCCGGTCTTCCTTCCAGGCTCTTCACCTCCCTTTCCTTTCAGGCACAGGCCCTGCTGCCTCCTATCGTTCACATTCTTTTCTGGAGCCCCCGGGGCATCCCGATGAGCACTGGGAAGAATCCACGTTGGCACTGGACACAGAGGTGGTTCCGCGCTGCTGGGGTTGGCAGGCTCCACCTCCGGTGAGGGGACGAGGAGGGCGGTCGGTCCCACTGACTGCACCCAGTCCCTGTGCCCGCCTGGCACTTGGGCGCCTGTGCTTGTTTATGGGTCAGTGTGACTCTCCTGGGGCCGCTCCAACACAGAGCCATCCGTCCCCTCACGTCCGGAGCCCAGGACGCCCAAACCGAGGTGCCAGGGCCCCACTCAGACCTGCGGGCGGGCTGCCTGCTCCTCCCAGCCGCCCTGCGCTCCGGGGCGAGTGGCCGCATCACCCCCATTCCTGCCTCCGTGGTCACTGGCTGATCTTCTGTGTCTCCTCTTCTTATGGGGACGCCGGCCATTGGAGTCAGCCCGCCCGCCCGCTCCAAGATGACCTCATTTTGACTAATTAACCCGCAGTGAATGGACCCCGTTCCACGTCAGGTCACACTTGGAGACACTGGGTGTCAGGACTCCCACATGTCTTTCTGGGGACACAGTTCAATCCACAACAGGGTCCCAACTGTTTATCATCGTGTATTTGACAGTTTCAAAAGCCATTTACGTTTTAAAAGTTAACTTTTAGAGAGAGGCACCGAAACACGAGTTTTCCCACCTCAGTGCTTCCAGCTCCACCCGAGACGGCCACCTCACGCCTCCTGGGCGCCCGGGATGCTCTGCGGGCCCCTGGCACACACGTCCGCCCTCTCCCTGCACCTTCGTCGGTCTTCTTCGCCCAGCCACACGCGGGGACTCGACGTCAGCGCACTGGGACCTGCCCGGCTCTCACTGTGGGTGCGTCCTGCCAGGCCACGGCATGGAAGCAGGTGATGGAGCTGTGGGCTGGCCTTTAGAAGGACCGAGTGGCCAAGGCTGGAAGCACACCGTCTCTGAAGGAACCCCACTCCCAGTCCCGGGGAGGAAAGTGCCAGCTCACAGGACACAGGCACCATGAATCTATCCTCTCATCTTCCATTTTGAAATAATCTCACATTTGGAGAAAAGCTGCAAAACTAGTTCACCGGGTACCTGAACCCCTTCTCCCCGAGCGCCCCGCGGCCAGCACGTTGGCATGCTTGCTTTGCCCCTTCGGGGCGAGGGCGCGGGAGGGTGCTCCTCACCCTGAACATGTCCGGCGTGTTTCCCAGACACGGACGCCCTCCTGCGGCCGCGGTGGAGGGCGCGCCCGACGCCAGCATCGACTCAGCGCCGCGTGGCCTCTGCCCTGCGCGCCTCTTCCGATTTCCACGTTGGTCCCGTTTTTGACTTTTGCACACTTCCTGTCGCTTCATTCCCGTGTTTGATCTTCCTGGTTTCCGTGGTTGGTGGTGGTTTCTCTCCGTCCCATCCTCACACTCCTTGCTGTGTGTGCACATCGAGGCTCCTGGCTTTTGTGTGTGAATTTCGTACTTTTTCATTTGTTGTTTGAGTTCCCGTTCCCCTCATTGAGCCTCGAGGGCTGGGCTTGCTGTCTAACGCGGCTGCCCCGTTTATGCACATAAAACAGAAGGAAATGGATCCAAACGCTCCGCTCCACAGTCACATGAGCCCCTTTAACAATTATTTATTTTGTTAGTTGATGCATTTAATTAACCCACATACAATTACTTGTCTTCTGGCTTGTTGAAGCAATAGGTCAGACAGCATTTGCCACAAAACCACCTGCCACAGTGGCTGGCCATGGAAACTCCCGGCGGCCCGGGCCCTGTGGCTCAGGGCTCGAGCATGACCCACGATGAACCAGGAGGTCACGGTTCGAGTCCTCGTCAGGGCACATGGCCCAGCTGCGGGCTCCATCCCCCATGGGGGGCGTGTAGGAGGCAGCTGGTGGATGAGTCTCATCATTGATGTTTCTCTTTCTCCCTTTCCCTTCCTTTCTCTGAAATCAACAAAAGTAAATGAAAAAAACAACAACAGCCCAAACTCCTCAAAAAACAAACAAGGAAAAAAAAGACCAAACTCGCAGCGAAGGCGACGGATTCTGCCATTCTCGCCCCCGTGCAGTATGTCAGGGCAGCCAGCTTACCTTCCTTTCTCCTCCGCGTCGTGGGGTAAGACTTCCCCCTTCCTCAGCACCCCGAAGTCTCAGCACAGTGACAAGTGGGCTCCTTCTGAACGCTGCAGGCAGGCAAGTCCGTCCGTCCGTCTTCCCGGCGTCACCAGGAGGCCTTCCTTGCTGATCCCGGATCTTGTTCTTTACATTTGCTGTCGGATCCGAGGGTTTGACCTGGAAAGCGATGGTCTCCCCATAAGGGTTTCAGGAAACTGCATCTCGGCGGGATCCCCCCACAGATGAGATCGGAAAAGCACGTGAGCCCCACTTAACGTCCAGCGGCCACGTGGGCTGGGCCTGTGCTGGACACGGGGGCTCTGGGACGTGTCCGTCATCACAAGCCTCACAGGACGGCCCCGGGGACGGCGTCGTGGCCTCTGCAAACGGGGGCAGTTTTGCTTCTTTCCCAGCCTGTGACCCTCACCGGTTCCCTGTCGGACCCAGTGCCGAGGCCTCCGGCACAGGGAGGCGTGGCGTGGATGCAGGCGGCCTTGCCCTGGTCTTGACGTTAGGGGAAATGATGCCAGCACTTCCTACTGCAGCGAGGTGGTGGGCTTAGGGAAGGCATGCGCAGTTTATTACATCAAGACAATGTCTATCGCCCTTACCCAGTGGTTCTCAACCTGGGCTGCTCATTAGAATCACCTGGGAATCTTTTTAAAATCCTGATTTCTGGGCCTCATCCTCCGGAAATTCTGTTTCTTTGTTACTAATGTTGTGGCCCCACCCCATAACAAAGAAACAGCATTTCCGGAGGATGAGGCCCAGAAATCAGGATTTTAAAAAGATTCCCAGGTGATTCTAATGTGCAGCCAAGGTTGAGAACCACTGCCCTAACCGGTTTGGCTCAGTGGATAGAGCGTCGGCCTGCAGACTGAAGGGTCCCAGGTTCGATTCCGGTCAAGGGCATGTACCTTGGTTGTGGGCACGTCCCCAGTAGGAGGTGTGCAGGAGGCAGCTGATCGATGTTTCTCTCTCATCGATGTTTCTAACTCTCTATCCCTCTCCCTTCTTCTCTGTAAAAAAATCAATAAAACAAGACAATATCTATCAATTCCTATTTTCCTTACTGTTTATATTCTTATCAGGAATTGACGTTGGGTTTTTGTCAAAGGCTTTTTCTGCACTGATGGAGAGAAGCATATGATTTTCCTCCTTAGATCTGTTCACGTGGTGGATTTTATGAATGGATTTCCTAAAGCGAAGCAACCTTGGAATCTTGGAACAAATCGCCCTTGTTCACGGGGTACTGTTTTCCTTCTACAGGGGGAGGCTTGTCCGGAGCCAGGAGGGCCGGGGCAGGGGCTGTGGCCAGGCATGTGTGTGCGGCGGATGGGGCTTCAGGGTGTGTGGGGTAGACGTGCTGGGCAGGAGACACGGCGGGGGAGGGGGGGCTTCAGCTGGGTCCCCCCAGCTCTGAGCGGGGGTTGGTGCTGCTCCTGGGCACCAGGAGTGACCAGGGCTTGGGGGTGGCCCTGAGCTGGGTGGGCACCAGGGGGCGCTGCAGCCCGCCGGTTGGGTGGGGCCTGGGCTGCAATTAGTAGGAGCTCATCCTCCCTCCTCTGGAACCCCATCTCATACCCACTTCCCACCTGCTGACCCCTTTCTCAGCCTACCCCCCCCCAACCTGCGCCTGTGCCCGGTGTTGCCCGGGTGGGGGGCACAGCTCTGGCTGAGCTCCCCGTGTTGGAGTGAGAGGCTCACACAGGGAACACCTGTGCGGTGACCTGGTTGGCCCTCCTGTGGCCTCGGCGGCCATTATTCCCCGCGGCGGACACTGTGCTTCAGTGTCTCCTGAACTGAGGAAAACGGTGAACCGTGTGAATTCAAGGGCCTCTGTGCTGACAGGTGTGGGGAAGGCTCCCCAGAAGCCGACGTGGTGAGTAGGGGGTCCAGGGTAGCAGGGGCTTCGGGCAGAGGCCGAGGGGGAGCGAGGGCAGTGTTTTCGGGGTGCCACAGGCGGTGGGAGGATGAGGTGGGTGGGGCCAGGCGAGCAGGGCTGGTCTTTCTCTAAATGGCCCTGGAGACCCTGGGGGCCGGTGGGGCAGCGGAAGCTGAGGCCGGGGGTGTGCGTTGTGGTGGAGTCTGTGGCAGCTAGGGAGATGGTTGTGGGTGAGGGAAGAGCGGGGGGACTGGGTGTCGGGCATTTGGATGTGATGTGGAGAGGTCACTGGGCAGCTGGGTGTGTCAGCAGGAGGGGATCCGCCTGCGGGGCGGGGGCCGGCCACTCCCGGCGCCACATGGGCTCAGGCTGCCCAGAAGCCGGGGTTCAGAGCCCAGCTGGGCGTGGGGGCTGGGGGGCGTTTCTTCTGTCCAGAAAGTTGCTGCCGCGGGCTCCAGGCCTCTGCAGGAGCCGAGGGGGCCCTGACTGGTTGTCGGACGTGGAGCATGGGTTCACCCCTGGGGTGCCTGTGGGGCCCCATTGGTCATTGGACTGCACCCCCAGGGAGCCATCAACGGCCTCTTCCCAGGGGTGACCGCACACAGCAGTCAGCCTGGCACTGGAGACCTTCCCGGTTGGGAGGTGTCCCGGCAGGACAGACACGCACCCCTGTTGCCATGAGCAGCGAGCCGGCTCTGGAGAGGGGCCAGCGAAGTCCTTGCTGCAAAGCCCTGCTCCCACATCGGTTTGGGGCGACTTCCCCGGGGAGAGAGGATGTTTGAGTCACAGAAAACAGCCAGGAATGGGGCACTGCCTTCTCTCCGCGCGGCCAGACCAGGAGCTGCCGCAGGAGGGCTTGCATCTGTGTGGGCTTTGTTATTTTTACCTGTCTTTTCTCACTGTCAAAAGCCCACTTTGGCTTGAAGATGAGGTGAGTGGCCCCACCTGTGTAGGTGCGTCCTCCTCCCCGTGAGCTCTCTCCCCCTGGAACCCGCGGTTCCTGCTTCCTGAGCTCCTTTATCCTGGGGACAGGGCTGAGCTGGTCTTCCCGAGATGGTGGGGGCCCCCACCAGCGGAAACGAATGCCCGCCACTCTTTCTCTGAAATACCTGTTGCTCTGGTGCCAGACTCAGATGCAATTCCTCTGCATTTCCTGGGCTTTCCAACTTCTCCACGCTAGCACATACTGCCTTGAAAATTAAAAAAAAAAATTAGTAAAACACTAGAAATAAGGAAATGAATAAATATTTTTGAAGCAAGCCTAGGGCGAGATGGCCCAGTTTGTATGTGTAAACTACCAGTATGTTGCTGCCTTTCTCGGAGTGACAACCTAGAAGGGGAGACACCACCTGTGCTGCCTGCAGTGTCTTAAGAATCTGACAAGATGATACAGCTGGGACTGCTGGCTCAGCTCATTTGCATGCCCCCCCCTCCGCGCCCTGTGGCAGGTTACCATGGGAACAGGGCGAGATGGATGGTAGAGTGGGAATGTCCTTGGGGATTTGAACACGCCCCTCTAAGAAGCTGAGAGAACAGGCAGAGAAAAGTAAGCAAAGATAAAGAAAACCAGAATGCCATTCTTAATAAACTCAATTTTATGTATAAATATTTATAATTTAGAAATGTGAATTTATAAATATGCATATCATTATTTGATAAGTTGTTATTTCAGGGATTTAACAATGTAGTTTTATATAAAAAATTGATTAGTACTGCCTCCGGTCAAGATGATGGCACTGACCTTGGCAGGTTGCTCAGTGGTTAGAGCAGCATGTAAAACACGGCCGGTGCCGGCTGTGAGTTTGACATGCTTGGGTTAGAGTGTTGGCCCTCGGACCCAAGGGTCGTGGGTTCAATTCCTGGTCAAGGGCCCGTACCTCTGTTACAGGTTCAATCCTGTCCCAAGTTGGGGCATGTGGGAGAGGCAACCAGTGGATATGTCTCTTTCACGTTGATGTTTCTCTCTCTTTCTCCCCCTCCCAATTCTTCCCTCCCTTCCACTCTCGCTAAAAATCAATAGAAAAAATATCCTCAGGTGAGGATTAAAAAAAAAAAAAGATGGCGGCATAGGTAAATGTAATACTCAAATCCTCCCACAACCACATCAAAATTATAACTAAACTACAGAACAACCATCATTCAGAAACACCCAATATTTGGCTGAATGGAAGTCCTACAACTAGGGAATTGAAGAAGCTACATCAAGACTCATAGGAAGGGGTGGAGACATGGAACGTATGGTGGATAAAAATGGTGGGGATATCTTGGCTGTGGAGGTCCCCCCCTGAGGAGGGAGGGGTCCCAGCTCCATCCTAGGCCCCCCAGCCCAGGGTTCCAGTGCCAGGAAGAGAAGTCCTCATAACTTCTAGCAGCAAAAACCAGCAGGGATTGAGGCTGAAGTAGATGGAGGGCTGTTGGAGACTCAGGCAGTTCCTCTTAAAGGGCCCACTCAGTGACTTACTTGGGCTTACTCCCTCTGAGCTTCAGTGCTGGGGCAACAGCTCAAAAGGCACCAGAGACATAAGGGGGGTGGAACTGAATTATCTGGCATCAGGTGAGAGCAGAGGGGGGGCAACTTTCTCCCAGACCAGTGGTGGGCAAACTTTTTGACTCGCGGGCCACAATGGGTTCTTAAACTGGACCGGAGGGCCGGAACAAAAACATGGATGGAGTGTTTGTGTGAACTAATATAAATTCAAAGTAAACATCATTACATAAAAGAGTACGGTCTTTTTTTTCAATAGTTTTATTCATTTCAGACGGGCCGGATCTGGCCCGCGGGCCATAGTTTGCCCACGGCTGTCCCAGACAGAAGTGCTGGCAGAGGCCATTGTTCCTTTGATAAACTCTCCCCCCACAGAGCTAGCAGGTGGGTGCCATATCTGAGTCTCTGTCAACCTGGCTAACACTGTTTGTTCTGCCCTGGTGATTCCCTGAGACCCCGCTCCACCCAACTTTCAGGCCCACCAATGGTTTTACCATACAAATGGCCTGTCTTGGCTCAAGCTTCCTAAAATCTCTCAAACAAGAAGCATCTGCCTTTAGTGTGCCCTGTACCTCTCATTATGTGGTCCCAGGCCCAGTACTAGCAGCAGTCAGCCTTGGTTCACAGCTTGGCCTCTTCTGGGTACCTCCAGGTCCAGGATAAGCAGCAGCCATCTGCAGATTGCTTTGTAGCTCATGGCGAGTGGCCCTGGGTGGAACATAGGCAATGGCTGACCTTGGCCTGCACTTCCCAGGAGGCCCCAGAGCCAGCACACCCAGTGGACAGCTTCAGAGCACATCAATGCACCCAACCACCTCCACAAGCAACATACTTAAGGAGTGGACTAAGGGGGCACCAGAGTCCTGCTGAAGTAAGTCCTGCTATGTGTGTGTGTGGGGGGTCCCTGCACAGTTGATCCTCTAGGGTGGTCAGAGATTGGTGATCGATGGTCATAGCCAGTCCTTGAAGCTGGTCAGCCTGCGGGTAAATTCATTCCATTGATGTGCCAACAGCAATCAAAGCTCAACTACAGGAGGAAGCTGTACACAGCCCACACAGGGGCTGGCAGGTGAGGGGGCACACCTGGAGTACCCAGTTTGGGTGAAAGGAAAGGCTGTGCCACTGGACCCTGCAGGACACCTATTACATCAGGCCACTCCACCAAGCCTGGGAAACGCAGCAGCTCTACCTAATACATAGAAACAAACACAGGGAGGCTGCCAAAATGAGGAGACAAAAAACATGTCACAAATGAAAGACAGACAGAACTCCAGAAAAAGAACTAAACAAAATTGAAACAAGCAATCTACTAGATGTAGAGTTCAGAACACTGATTTAAGGATACTCAATGAACTTAGTGGAAATTTCAACAGCATAAAAAAGGACCAGTCAGAAGTGAAAGATACACTAACTGAAATGAAGAATAATTTACAGGGAATCAACAGCAGAGTAGATGAAGTTGAGAATTAATGATTTGGAATATAAGGGAACAAAAAACACCAAATCAGAACAACAAAAAGGAAAAAGAATAAACGAAAAATGAGGATAGCGTAAGGAACTTCTGGGACAACTTCAAGTGCACCAGCATTCACATCATGGGGTACAAGAAGGAGAGGAGAGAGAGCAAGAAATTGAAAACCTACTTGAGAAAACAAACAGAAAACTTTCCTAACTTGGTGAAGGGAACAGACGTACAAGTCTAAGAAGTACAGAGAGTCCCAAACAAGAGGAACCCGAAGAGGCTGACACCAAGACACATCATAATTAAAATGCCAAGGGTTAAAGACAAAGAGAGAATCTTAAAAGCAGTAAGAGAAAAACAGTTAGTTACCAGAGAAGGCAGCTCCCATCAGACTGTCAGCTGATTTCTCAACAGAAACTTTGCGGGCCAGAAGGGACTGGCAAGAAATATTCAAAGTCATGAACAAGGACCTACAACCAAGATTACTCTACCCAGCAAAGTTATCATTTAGAATAAAAGGACATATAAAGATCTTTCCAGACAAGAAAAAGCTAAAGGAGTTAGTCACCACCAAACCAGTATTATATGAAATGTTAAAGGGTCAAGGAGGAGGAGGAGGAGAAGAAGAAGAAGAAGAAGAAAGAACATGAACAATAAAATGGTGGTAAAATACATATTATCAATAATTGAATCTAAAAAACAATAAACAAGCAGAAAGGAAACAGACTCATAGATACAGAGAACATTTTGACGGTTGCTAGATGGGAGGTGGTTTGGGGGGATGGGTGAAAAAGGTGAAGGGATTAAGAAGTACAAATTAGCTTGGCCAGCCAGTGTGGCTAGTGGTTGAGCACTGACCCAGGAATCATGAGGTCACTGGCTTGATTCCTGGTCAGGTCACATGCCTGGGTTCAAGCTTAATCCCCAATAGGAGGCAGTCAATCAGTGATGTTCCTTTCTCATTGATGTTTCTATCTCTCTATCCATCTCCCTCTCTCTCTAAAAATCAATAAAAACATTTCAAAAAATGTATAAATTGGTTGTTACAGAATAGTCATGGGGATGTAAAATACATTATAGGAATATAATTATTAAGTCAATAATATTCTTTTTTTGTTTTTGTTAATTCTCCCCAAGGATATTTTTCCATTGATTTTTAGAGAGACTGGAAGGGATGGAGAGAGGAGGGAGGGAGGAAGGGAGAGAGAGAGAGAGAGGAGAGAGAGAGATGTGACAGAGACACATTGTTTGGTTGCCTCCCACACATGCCCTGATCAGGGCCAAGGATTGAACCTGCAACCTAGGTACATGCCTTTGACCCGGAATCAAACTCATGACTCTTTGGTGTGTGGGCTGACATTCTAACCATTGAGTAACACCAGCCAGGGCATATTCTTTTTTTTAAAATCCTCACCTGAGGATATGTTTTCATTGATTTTGAGAGAGAGAAAAAGAGAGAGAAAGAGAGAGAATCAACGTGAGAGAGAAACATTAATCAGTTGACTCCCTTATGTACCCTGATCAGGGATCGAACCCACAACCTGGGTATGTGCCTTGACTGAGAATTGAACCCACAACATTTTGGTATATAGGATGATGCTCCAATCAACTGCTCCACTTGGCCAGGGCTAGTCCATAATATTCTAATGACTATGTATGGTGTCAGGTGGGTTAGAATTTTATCGGGGTGATCACTTAGTAAGTTATCTAATGTCTAATTACTGGGTTGTACACTGAAACTAATATAATACCGTATGTCAACTGTACTTAAAAAATAAAAAAAATGATTTAAAAATAAATGAGTACACACTATGGAAAACAGTATGGAGTTTCCTCAAAAAACTAAAAATGGATCTCCCATTTGACCCAGTAATCCCACTTCTAGAACTATGTCCCAAGAAACCAGAAACACCATTGAGAAAGGATATATGCACCCCTATGTTCATAGCAGCACAATTTACAATAGCTAAGATTTGGAAACAGCCTAAGTGCCAAACAGCAGATGATGTATTAAAAAACTGTGGTACAATGGAATACTACTCCACTAAAAAAGAAGGAACTTATACAATTTGCAGCAGCATGTATGGAACTGGAGAGCATTATGCTAAGCCAGCGGTTCTCAACCCGTGGGTCGCGACCCCTTTGGGGGTCGAACGACCCTTTCACAGGGGTCGCCTAAGACCATTGGAAAACACATATATAATTACATCTTGTTTTTGTGATTAATCACTATGCTTTAATTATGTTCAATTTGTAACAATGAAAATACATCCTGCATATCAGATATTTACATTACGATTCATAACAGTAGCAAAATTACAGTTATGAAGTAGCAACGAAAATAATTTTATGGTTGGGGTCACCACAACATGAGGAACTGTATTAAAGGGTCGTGGCATTAGGAAGATTGAGAACCACTGTGTTAAGTGAAATAAACCAGTTGGAGAAAGATAAATAACTATAAACACCAATTTATGATAAAAATGCTTAGAGAATTGGAAATGGCATGTCATTAATTTGAATTGCGTGTGTCACAAAAATTGCATATCTGACGTCACATGTGATAGTGGAAACTGAACTTCCCTTGCTGTAAGACTAAACACAGAATCCCTATTAAAATATCAATGGCGTATTTCACAGAGCTAGAACAAATACTCCAAAAATTTATATGAAATCTAAAAAGACCCCGAATAACTACAGTAATTTTGAGAAAGAAAAAGTTGGAGGAATCACAATACCAGATTTCAAGTTATACTACAAAGCCACCATAATCAAAACAGCCTGGTACTGGCACAAGAACAGGCATATAGATCAATGGAACAGAACAGAGACCCCAGAAATCGACTCAAGCCATTATGCTCAATTAATACTTGAGAAAGGAGCTAAGAGCACACAATGGAGTCAAGAGAGTCTCTTAAATAAGTGGCATATGGATTACACAGATACATGCAAAAAAATGAAATTAGACCACCGACTTACACTAAACACAAGACTAAACTCAAAATAGATAAAAGACTTAAATGTAAGTCGTGAAACCACAAAAATCCTAGAAGAAACCATAGGCAACAAAATTTCAGACATCTCTCATAGCGACATGTTTACGGATATATCCCCTAGGGCAAAGCAAACTAAGGAGAAAATAAGCAAATGCGACTACATCAAAATAAAGAGCTCTACCTACACAGCAAAAGAAACCAACAAAACGAAAAGGGAGCCCACTGTATGGGAGAAGATATTTGGCAAGGATACATCTGATTAAGGGTTAATATCCAAAATATATAAGGAACTCATACAACTTAACAAAAGGAAGACAAACAATCTAATAAATAAATGGGCAAAGGACTTAAATAGACACTTCTCCAAAGAGGACATACAGATGGCCAAGAGACATATGAAAAAATGCTCAAAGTCACTGATGATCTGAGAGATGCAAATCAAAACAACAGTGAAGTACCATCTCACACCTGTTAGAATGGCTACCATCACAAATCAACAAATGACAAGTGCTGGCGAGGATGCAGAGAAAAAGGAACCCTCATGCACTGCTGGTGGCAATGCAGACTGGTGCAGCCACTGTGGAGAACAGTATGGAGTTTCCTTAAAAAATTAAACATGAAACTGCCATTTGACCCAGTGATCCCACTTCTAAGAATCTATCCTAAGAAATCTGAAACACCAATCAGAAAGAATGTATGTACCCCTAAGTTCATAATAGCACAATTTACAATAGCTAAGATCTGGAAACAGCTCAAGTGCCCATCAGTAGATGAGTGGATAAAAAAGCTGTGGTACATTTATACCATGGAATACTATGCAGCAGTAAAAAAGAAGGATCTCTTACCCTTTGAGACAGCATGGAGAAACCTGAAGAGTATCATGCTAAGTGAAATAAGTCAGTCAGAGAAAGACAAAGATCACATGATCTCACTCATATGTGGAATCTAAGTAACAAACCGATGAATGGAGTGGATCGAGAGACTTGGAAGCATGGAACAGAGTGCGGAATCTCAGAGGGAAGCGGGGGAGGGTGGCCGGGTGGGAGGTAATCAACCAAGACCTTGCATGCATATATGCATGGCCCATGGACAGACAATGGGGCAGTGAGGGTCTGAGGTGGGGGTAGGGGCAGGGGTGGTCTAGAGGGGGCCAATGGGGGAAAACGCAGGACATATGTAATACTTTCAACAATAAAGAATTATTTTAAAAAGAAAAAAAGACTACGAACAGGCCAGGCACCTCCTCTCTGGTCTCTGGGACTGTTGTCCTGGTGGCTGTCAGCCCTGCATCACTGCCACTTTGGGAAATCAGCAGGGCTCACACGGACTGCTCACACGGAGCAGACGAGATAGCAGATGAAATGAGTCATCCCCAGAGAGACACACATGACCAAAACTGACTCAAGAAGAAACAGACAACCTGAGCAGACCTGTAGGAACAGAGAGATTAAAGGAGTAAGTTACAAATCTACCACAGGGTAGTTCACACATCTGCCCAGGCCTGGGCAGCTTCGCGGTGACTGTACTAACCGTCTAAGGACTGTCAGGCCAGGAGCTGGGCCGGCGGCTCCTTAGGCCAGGGGAGGACACTGCTCTCGGGAAAGCTCTGCCCGCGAGTGCTGCCCTTGGGGGCAGGCGGTAGTCCCTGGTGAGGCCATGGTCTGAGCTGGCCAAGGCCCTTCTGGTGGGGCAGCTCCAGGGGACACCCTGTGTGAGGCACAGGCCTTGTCAAGGTTGTGCCTTTTACAAGGACTAAAATCTCTGCAAAAATGTCAAAATGCTAGACTGGCCCTTGCCGATTTGGCCCAGTAGATAGAGCGTTGGCCTGTGGACTAAAGGGTCCTGGGTTCAATTCTGATCAGGGCACATGCCCGGGTTATGGGCTCGGTCCCCAGTAGGGGGCATGCAGGAGGCAGCCAATCAATGATTCTCTCTCATCATTGATGTTTCTATCTCTTTCTCCCACTCCTTTCCTCTCTGAAATCAATAAAAATATATTTAAAAAAAATGTTAGACTGACACATGAGGAGGCCACCTGGTCAGAGATTTGTAGCCTAACCAGCCAGTCAAGGGGCCTTGGGATCTAGGCCAGCCTCTCTTGCCTCTAGCTGTTATGGATGATGGTCCCCCTAAATCATGCCCATGTGGTGATGTCCCTCTGAGGGTCCCCAAACCAAGAGTCCTTACTTGGCTGAGCCTGGATCGGGGGAGACCACAGTGGGGACTGCAGCCTCTTTAGCTCTGGGCTCTGAGGACCCGGTGGGGTTGGGGGGGGAGAGGAGTCACCTGCAGGCCCTACTCAGTAGTGGACCAGGGGACACAGGGCTGTGGGTGGCCCGTGTGACACTCTGGGACATGGTGCGCATCTGCCATTCTCTCCCTCCTGGGGTGATGGCCGTCCTGCCTTTCCTGGACTGTCTGACCCTCCTGCCCCAGCTCCTCAGTTCCCAGCCTGTTACTGTGTGGCCAGATGGTACTGTCCTCCAGCCCCTGGGCA